AAAGGAGGGATCTTCTGGAGCAGAAGAGAAAGAGGCAGGGATGAAGATTCTTGATTGAATCAAAGATTCAATCCCCACAAAGGCCCCAAAGATTCAATCTGGCCAGGGGAGTAGTGGAAATGTGTAGGGATATTTAAATGCAAACTGGGTCCCAGTGCATAAAATACCCTGATGACGAAAATCGGTCCTTGGCAGAGGTCTGCACGGGATGCCCTAAAACCCTGTTTGCAGGGCTGCTCAGAGTACCTCCAGAAACGGTCTCATGAGCCACGCTGGGTGGCCGCGCTCTGCAGCACTCACCCTCCCTCCCAGGGCAGCAAGACTTTAATTACCCAAACCAAAGGGTCCCGCAGACCCAGCCTAAAAGGGACGCGCTCGCCTTGAAGCCTCTTTCAGCGAGGAAGCAGGGGAACTACTGAACTTCGTCTCTCACGGCTGCATGTCTTGCAGTCCCTGTGTCCCCCGCGATTCCTTCATCCCCCCACCCAGCGCATTCCCAGCTCCTCGCCACGGCCACGAGCCGAGCACAGCTCCCAGGGCAGGTGCAGGGCCCGAGCTGGGAGGGATTAGGGATGTTGTGGCCTCTAAGCGGAGGCCCAAGCTGTGCCCGTCCAAGGCAAACGCGTGTTCTCAGCGCGAGCCCTGCGAGGGGCCGCTCGCTTTACAAGCACTTTCCTCTTCCCCTCACGCTGGAAACCTGATTCTACAAAAACACTTAGGCAGCAGCTAATTACCAGCCCTGCAGTGGCTTAGCTCTCTAATTCCTGCCAGTCAATGAACCAGCCCAAAGAGCAGGTTTTCCTAAGTTACAGAACACCAGAACACAGCCCCGCAGCCATCACGTAGCAGATTTCTCTTTTTTCTTTTCTCCCCGAGGAACTTCCGGAGCCCTGTCAGCTTTAGAAATCTTTTCACTTCACTTCAAGGAGCCTTTTAGATGGAGTGAACATCAAGGCCTGTCCCTGGGAGACCCCGAGCAGGCACAAGGCCCTGCAAAGGCCCGGGACTCCAGCTGGGATGCCAGGGGAGAGAAGCCTTGCAGGCTCTCGGTTTGAAGGTAGAGCTGGCATCTTCCAGCTTGTTCCAGTGATGTGAGGACTCCACTTGCATTTTTCTGTATGTTCCTACCACCCAACCATGTCCACACCTTGCAAAGGTTTTCTTGATCCACCAGTTTGTATCCAGAAGGCTGCTGCAAAAATTGTTGTGCTGGCCCATGGCTTAGACCACATCATTCCACCCCACACTCCTCCCTGGCTCCCTCTTTTCTCTGCCCCACTTATAGACTGCTCGTCTCCCCTTTCCAAGCCCTTCATTATCCACCTCTCCTCCACCCATCCTCTCCCATGCAACAAAGGCAGACTCCATCACCCATTCCCAACAAGCCCCTTCATGCCCTCTCCTGCCCCACTCACTCATCAGGCGTCTGAGCATTTGCAGAGCCACCTCATCACCCCCTGCAAGCTCTGCTTTGCCGTGACCCCCACGGGAGCCTTCGCTGTGGCTGCTGGCAGAGCCTCGTGGCTCCCTTGTGCTCCCCACTCGGCCTGTGCCCGGCTCCTGCTTCTTGACTCGAGCTGCGGCTGTGGAGAACATCATCCCGTGCGTGTGGACTCCACGAGGTTCCCCAGCATTCCACAGACAGGTTTTCAGCCGCTTTAGCTCCCCCAAAATGAGCTAAGCCAAGTCTGGGCCGATGACTCCAGAGGTGAGACGATGCTTCATCTCCAGGTGCCGAAGTGGAGGCACCGTTTCTGCCCTTCAAAGCATGTTTTGCTCTGTGGCTGCAGTACAGCGGGACAAGCTGAATCCTACCCCACAGGGATGGTGTTCCAGACAAACAAGGACATTCCACACTGAGAACTCCCACAGATTTAGGCGCTCACCAGGTCTCATCTTGAAATCCCGGCTCTGAGCACCAGAGTCCAGTCAATTACTTGATGCTAACATGGGGCTTTCCAGAAAAATCCCTCCGTCTTTCCCAGCCTGCCTAGCCCTCCGGGTGCCTGATGTTCCCACTAGCCAACTGCTCCTCCAGCCACCGCGCCGCAGACAGCGGCGAGATCCCGTGCTGATAACACGGGGGCTAATGGAAGTGGGGGTGATTTCCCGGCAGCAACAGGGCGCAGGGGAGCAGCCTGCAGCCGCCGGGGTGTCTCTGAGCCCCGCTGCGGGCCGGGCTCTGGTTCCCGAGCAGCCGGGCTGTCTGCACGGGCTCTGCCGGCACACGCTGCCGGCCCCGCGGCCTCGCCGGGGCCCTGCCTCCGTGACCCAGCCCGCTGCAATTCCGCGGTGAAGCCGCAGAGGTTTCCCACAGGTTCCCTTGGATTCAAACACCTCCCAACACCTCCCGCCAGGGCAGGGAATCCGCTTCCATGGGAGACTCCTTTCTGGAGCAGCTCTCCCGTTTCAGAGAGACAGTTGAGGGGAAAGAGCAGCTCGTCAAGGACCAGGGGAGACAGGGCAGTGTGGCCGAGGTGACAGCGGGTGTGCGGGAAGGCCCCCGCTTTCCTCACGCAGCAGAACGGGAGCAACGCGCGTGTTTCGGGGCGCGTTACCGAACGGCGCGGCACGAAGCGCAGCCGGGGGAGCCGGGGCCGGCTGCGCAT